TCGACGGCACATAACAACAACAACAACAATGAATGGCATTAGTGAAAAACCAGGCAATATCACTGAATGGAGAAAGACTGACAGGTTTTACCTGAACACTATTAGTATAAAGATGCCTGCTTTTCCCACTTTTTACAGAACACTGGGAATTTTTGCTAGAGGACATAGATAAGAAAAAACATTCAAATGAGATTTGCAGATAATATGTTTAGAAAACCCTGACGAAAACACACATTGGTAGGCGGGCACCGTCTAGTTCTTCTAGTCTCAAGGGCCATGGTGTCCTACAGCTGATTGCTTCTAAATGCTGTGTTTTTTTTGTTTGTTTGTTTGCATTCTTTTTCACTTCCAATGCAGGAGATTGTTAGCTGCATCTTAGATGGCTGCTTGAAAGCTTTTTTAAGACCCCAGTCGCTATTCACCTATGTAGGATGTGGAGCAACACTTTCATGTATTTTGTTGTGCCAATTGAGTCTCGTGTCCCCCAGTAGTATGGTCCTTAAGCAGTAGATCTAATTGGATCTCTCTCCCATAGTGTCAGGTTGTCTGTGAGGGATTACTCTATGTCTGTCTTCTACTGTTTCTGTCAGGACTGCAGGTATTTTGTATCACTAGTGTCTTTGCAAGGTTAGCCTCAGCTGAATCTATCCTTGTTCTAGAGTATAATTCTGTTCACATTTCAGGTGTTTGGTGTTAATGGCAATGCGGTATTGTGGACACATTGGTTGGTATTAGCATCTGTCGTCTAGGCCTTATGTGCACAATTCAATGTACTCCCATTTCCTAATGTTATTTTGGTGGTCTTATATACTTCCACTATATTCTTCCCCCTACCCATGTCAGTGTGTAGGCCCCAACTTAGCAAAATTAATCCCTTCCTTTCCCTCCCCATCCCGGTAACCTGCTAAGTGAGTTACCTTTCCCAAGCAAACTCTTCTCTTTCTTTTTACAGTAATGGGCTCATACAGTACTTGTCCTTTTGAGATTGACTTATTTCACTTAGCATAAGGGAAATAGCACTTAGCATAAAGTTCATCCACGTTGTGAGATGATTTATGTATCCCTCACTTGACTGCTAACCCACCAAACACTCCTTGGAAGGAAGGTTGGGCAGTCCTACTTCTGTGGTGATACTGTCTCAGAAACCCAAGGAAGGGTTGCTATAAGCCAGGGCCGAATCGATGGCACATAACAAC